CGCTCTTTTTCTCTTTCAAAGAGCGAATAGTCATCGCGTATCAACGTAGATCAAGAGACAGTAGTGTCTCACGCCAAATCATGCGCATTATATTGTATTTTTATATAATATACAAATTATATAATTATCGTGATTGCTTAAAAGCGTTTCTCTCTTTGTTTTTATTATTATCTAATTGTTAAAAATAATATACTATACATCTAATAAGATTATAACAATCAAACCAAAAGCTAACAACTTGTGATATTTGAGAAATCTTATGTAAAAATCTCGCGCTTATATTAATTATGATATTATTATTCATATTGTTCAGATTTCGCAATAAAATGTTATAAAATTTTATTGTGTACAAATACTTCCGATTATCTAATAGAATCATTGATGCGATGATCAATTGAAACACTACTAAAATGAAATTGCAAATCTCTTCAGACTCATGTAAAACAAATCGGTAAAACTGCATAAAAGGTAACGCACCTCCGATTTTGTCGCCACTTAAATATATCGTAGGGGAGGTTCTTCTGAGTAATTCCCCGCAAGAGATAAATGGGGGACGGCATTGGTATAAGAGATATAACAAATTAAAGTTTCACGGTTTTAATGCTTTTTCTTGGGTATTATAAAGTAATATTAGGAAAAGTGGAGTTTGTGTACATTGTATTTGTTGTAAAACAGACATGGAAAAAGTGTTTGTTTACATTACGATATTTTGTCAATAATGTGTTTCATCTATTTTTCGCAGTTCGTCAACAGCTTTCAACATGCAACTAGGATAAATGTCCCAATTATTGCGAGTGTACCTATAACTGCCGTTTTATATATTTTATTTGATAAAAAAAAATTTGTAAACAAACATATACAAAAAAAATTTTATAATTAAATCAATACTTTAATTTCTATAAAAACAAAAAATGACACGTATTTGTTTTTACTTAGTATTTATAAATTAATGTTAAAAACTGAACATTAAGTTTGAGTATCAAAAGTGCGATTACGTAAATAAAAGGCGATGCAAAAGTCATAAAGAAAGAGCAATAATTTTGTTATATAACCTACCTTGATTATGTAAAATGAATTAATGAGCTATATAAGAATCATTTTAATGAAATAATGTATGAAATAAGTGATATTTTATGTTAAATTATAATTAGCGCTGACAACAATAGAGATAATATTTTCTGGTTTGTCCGTCGGACTGCTGTCAGTATTCGGGGCAAGAAACACATCACAAGTACGCATAACTGACACTTACCTACAGACTACTTTAACTTCTTTTCTGGCGCAGCAAGACTGGCAGTGATCTGGTCACAGTCAAAGGGACTGGCAATTATCGGGTGTTAGTTATATGGACAACATTTTTTTTTAATGACAGTCATAGGGACATCGCAGATTTCTATAGATTTTTATTTATTATTAATTTGAGTATTTATATGTAATGCATAATAATTTTTTTTTATTATAATAGAGATATTAAGTAACATTATGATTTAAAGTGAGGCATTTTTTAGCTTTAGTAATACCCAAAACGGTTAAATGAAGTTAGGCTATAAGCTTAAGGTGGCATAATTGGGACATCTACCTTACACGAACTTGTCTTGAAAAATATTTATTGAATGCGTGGGCGGCATCCCTGCACCCCCACCCCGAAAAAAATCGAATCTAACTCAACCCATCTTTACTTTTAAAACTTAAAATAGGTTTGGGTTAGATTAGAATTTTTTCGGGATGAAGGTGCAGGGGGAGGGCGGAGCCCCTCTCCCGCCCACACGTAAATATCATAAACAGTTTTTTTCAATGAAAAAATAAACTATATAGCATACACATACCTTAATGTCAAACTTCAATTTATTATATCTTCTAAACCAATGCCGTCCTCTACTTATTT